CAAGGGAGGTGAAGGAGGAAAAGATGAAGAAGAAACAACTGAGGACCACACAGATGGTGGATACAGTGAAGGATATACTGCAACCACTGATGATACTTATAATGAAGAAGATGTTTATAACAGACGTTCCCCATCTTCTACCACACTTAGCGGCTCTGCCATTGGCCTGATGTTTCTTGGCGGATTAATATTTGTCCGTAAGTATAAAATCAAGAAAACAATTTTATTAGTTTTCTAAAAAGTGTATTTTTTTAATTCTTCTAAAATAAGGTGACTTTTCTGGTTGGTTGTTAACCTGTTGGCTCCAATGGGCCATTTGACAGAGAAAAAATTGTCTTTTAAATTATAAGAATTTCTATGTATTTTATATTCTACATATTTATATACACATTTCATTCAGAAATAACTATTTCCTTCCTAAGACTTAGAGTTTTTTTCTAAGGTGTTATCTAGTTCTCAGACCACCAGACAGGGTAAAAATGTTTAGTAGATGATTCAGAATAATTTGGGCAAGAGCTGTCCCTATCATTTACAACTTACAATTTGCAAATCGTACTTCCGCTACATTACAATAAATACAGAACAATAATAATCTTAAATTTTGAACCTTTTGGCTATTGCTGCCAAACATTACATCTATTAAAAACAAGTAGCATTTGTGATAACAGGGTCAAAACAGATCACTCATTCATATGTCTTAGTATTTTTGAAGAAATATGAGTTTCAGGGATAAGAATGACTCAAGTTAGACTTCATGCAAGAAATTACTTCTCAGACCACCACAATCGGATGCGATCGTCTTTCTTTCATGGCCTGGGCATCAAGCAATCAACATCTAAAATTTCCCAATGCAGAAATACTAACTACAAAACCAGAGGAAACGGATTTTTCCCCTGATTTTTTGAGGAGGGGGGGGGTTGTTTTGGATTTTGATCTTTGATTAGTAGGAATCAACAAACACAGAATTCTGAAGCTGCAAAAGGCTGTTTTGTTTGTAGTTCCCAGGTGGTTAATGTTACAGGACGGACCGTCTTTCTGCCTTTGGAATTCTCCTCTCCTAGTTGGTGGTCTGGAGTAAATATGTCCTTAGTTGTGCAGTGTGAGGTAGCACTTTGTACACTGCATAGCCCTTTCCCCTTTTCTCTTCAGTTCACTTTGATGCTAAACTGAGAGTTTGAGATGCTCTGTTTAGTCTGGTGTAGGCAACTGTCTCTCTCCACTCCCTCTGCAGTGATACGAGGTCACTAACTTAGCCATCTAGGTTAAGGACCTAAAGACAGCCAGAATTAATATTGCAGTGCCTTTCCAAAATGAGCAATGTTTTCAATGTTGGCATTTAAAGCATTCAGCAATTTCCAACACTGAGTTCTTGAAACAACTAAGCATAATACTGCACACTGGGAAACCTGACTCACTCTGTGTAATCATTTGTTAAAACTGGGGTTTGGGGTTGGCCTCTATTGTTTTTTCGAATCAAGCATTATGTGTATGTGATGTGAAAAACGCAACTGGAGCCTTAGCCAAAGATCACTGTAGCCAGATGGATATCTCTCCACTGATTCTCATATGTCTATTATTACTAATGTGTATTTCTTTTCAATTACAGTATCTGAAGAGACAAATGTATGCTTATGTATCAAGGATGAATATCACTGAATGCTATACATAGCAAGACTGGTTCTGTTTGTTTAATTTTCATATGTACGCAACTTATATTCATTCAGCTGAGATAGATCAAAGTCTGTTCCCAGGTGTATAGAAATAAATTTGCAGTAACAGCCCTACTCCACCCCCGCTTTGCTCTGCTATAACTAGAAGTACAAATTATTCTGAATTTCCAAATACACACATTTCCAAAAGCAGCTAATGATTCTGAAAGCCAGACTTGCAGGCTGCTTGGTTTGAAACATTTTAAAAGACATATTTTCAAAAGTTCTTGAGCACCTGCCCTCTGGGAAAAGCAGCTATTCCTGTGAGGAAGAGATGTCCTAAATCCCTGTTTCTTGTTTCTTTCCTGTTAAGTGATTCCAATTTTGATGTCAATGAGCGACTGTTGTGGCTGTGGACCTGGTGCTGCAGGTGGAGTTGGAACTGGATTTGAACCTGTCCCTGAATGCACAGAAGGGGCAATTCATCCATGGGGAATAGAAGGTGCACAGCCTGAAGACAGGGTCAGTACATCCCATATTTCTAAAACCTGCAGTAACTCATATTTACAGAAAAGACTGCATTTGGCTAGAAGCATGACAGTGATTTTAGCACTGTGACATCTTGGCATTGTCAACAATTGACAGGTAGATATGAAAGGTGATTCTTAATTAACATTTTCAGATGGAGTTTGTGTGTTTTAAGTTGTGTTCAGTTAGCTTGGGCCAACAGTTTGGTGTTACTGTTCCCTCAGCTGAAACACAATAACTAGCAAGCTTTTTCAGTGCAAAGTAGGACAAGGTAACACAAACCATCTTCACTGATCACCTTTCACGTTGACAATAAGAAAAACTTGAATGGAATCTTTTCTTTTTTTTTTAATGGGGATGGTAATTAATAGCTATCGTTAACAGTTTAGACTGCTAATTCCTTAACATGATTCACAAAGTCTTTGTCTTCATATGGGAATTTCAAAGTCATCATTCAAGGACTCAAAATGTTGTTTTCCAGGATGTCTCACACATTCTTGCCCCAACAACAGCTGCAGGAGGTGATTTTGGTGAACCCTCTGGTAAGCGGATCCTAAAATTTTCTATGTGTGCTGTCATAAAGCTATCTTTCAGAACTTCATGTCTTCTGATTCAAGGAGCACTTTGGTTTTGCAGCTGTAACCCAACCCTTCCAATCTTACATTTGCAGATAGTCAAACTGACGCTAGTAGGACTTCCAGTATGAATAAAGGATCTGAGGTTTGAGCCTTTGAGCAGATTCATTTCTGCAAACTACATTTATTTTGAAATATCTGCCAAGGCTTTCAAATCTCAGGCAATTTTTCTTTATCATTCCACCTAGTGAATGGAGGGTCTTTTCAAGACACCAGCTTTAGTAGAAATCAATCTTTAGGTCAGAATAAGGAAATTTTCTTTCATAACTCGGTGGTGAAAGGTTCAGTTCTTCCCAGTTTCCAGGCTCTGCTTCCCGCAAGGGAGAATAGGACCTGTCAAGTAGCCAGTTAATTACTGACCATTTGTGCACTAGCCTAGACAGAAAGCGGGTACATAGCACAATAAATTTATGCTTCTGAGATAAGGTTCCCCCAGGAGTTCGATGGCCATAGAGAATAAGTCAAGCTGTGCAGTGCCACTTTCTCTTTTTCCCCATTCCTTACTCCACAACAGGAAGGAAGGACGCTGGCACAAATCCATTTTCACTAGCTTCTGACAGGAAGAAATGTCACTCTGCAAGACAACTTCTCTGATGACTATTGATTATTCAAAAATGTTCTCATCCTTAAGGTAAAATCAAAAGAGAACATTTTGGGGCATAAACATGAATTAAGAGTCTTCGTTCTCAGGGAGGTTCTGCTGCCATGACGATCGAAAAGTTTACACATGTGATTTACTTTATTTCCACTGTTCAGTACCATTATGGTGAAAGCCCCTGGTTCAAATTCTATAAACTGAGGTTAACGAGATTAAATGGAAAAAAAAAATAATTTAGCCTATGTTTCTTAATGTAATCATAGTCAAGACTACTGTATGCAATTGGTTTGTTATATTACATGCTGATATTTAAGACCACTCATTCCTTGTTACCATATATGAAAAAATCTGGAGAAGATAAAATCCTGTGAGAATGACTTCATAATCTATTGTAAAGGTCATTTTCATTCTGCATTATGAAGACTGGTCGTTATTATGATCCATTGTTGTTCTCCCAAGTCCCCCTTAACAATTTTAACGACTAGAAAATGTTAAAAGAGTTACAAAGCTATTTCTTTTAGAAACGAGTTTAAGGCAAAACAATTTTAACCCCGATGTGATCATAAATATACATGTACATATTTGCATAAATATCCATAAGCATTATCTGATTTTCTAATGCAAATCCCATGACAGCATATATGTACACCAGACAGAGGAATCTCTCCAGGCAGTTACACAAGTAAATCATTGATTTTCTAAAGCACATATGCACATGCTACCTAGCTTCAGGAATAAAATCAAGGTCTTAGATGTCTGCTAATATGTGCTTAATTTTTATTGCAGTTTCAATGTCTGGCACCTGTGCATGGATCTGTGACTGAAAGTAGTCTAAAATACCTTTAGAAACTCAGTAGTGTCATTGTACTATTTGTAAAAATAACTGGCAAATTCTATGTAAATTTTCGCAGAGCACAGGAAGGATAACTTTTCTTTTTCTGTTTTCAGACATATATACAAACACATATGGAGGAGGAGGAGTAGTAGCTTCTGGTGTTGAAGAAACTACAGGGGTTGGCTATGGCACTGGTACTGGTTACGGAACAGCTGGAGGAATTTCTGGAACAGGGGAAGCAAAAGGGTCAATTGGAGGAACAATAAAAGAGTATCGAGAAGGAGGGGTGAACATGGCCTTCCTAGACAACTACTTCTCTGAGGTAATTACCTGATCTTCTTTGCATTATATCTGTGAGCCTACTGTTAGATTCTCATCCCCAAGTTACACAGTGGAAATCCAAAATAACTCCACTCAGACTGAAACTTCCATGATACAAGACTGGTGTGAGAGCAAAGCTGACCGTACTAGTAGGAAAAGCTATGACACTAGTAGTACTTCTTTTGAGCTGCTACCATAGTAGACTTGATTGCTCAATAGCCTTTTTGTAAAACTGATGGACGCACTGCAGGTATGGGTAGCAAGCAATTAAATTATTTCAGCTTCATAAGTGACCACCAAATTTATACATTTTCCACCTTTTTCAGTGTATAAATAGATAATAACTTTATGAAATTGTTCACATGTACTTCCTGTACCGCTTGTTTAATGAAGTGACTTTAACCCTTAAGGAACTGTGAACACCAGTTCACTTTCTTCCTTATTTTTATTGCCATTTCTGTTCCCTAAAAGACTTGTGAACTGCAAGTGACACAAATATGCAGTTTTGTAATTGGCAACATATTAATTAGCCTTTACATATGGGATAAAAAAATGCTATGGAGTTTACATGATTAATGGATTAATGGGATATATTTTCATAATTAGCATGAACTGTGAGGCATAAATACTATAATTGCATATGTCACCAAAATATCAATTAATATATAAGGATTGCTGTGTTTCAAAATTTAAACAAGATTCAATGGAGGAGAGGACAGAGCAGTCCTGAAGTCCTGAGCATGGGCTTCTCCCAGACCGCAATCTCCCTGCCTAGGCTGGGAGCACTATGTATTAATTGTCTGCCAGCCATAGGCCTCCACAGATTACTCCTCCTACCGACCATCTCAACCTCCAAACCACCTGCCTCTCCCCCCGCAGGCCTCCCCTTCTGTCCTTCCCTGCTTCCTCCAGCCTCACCCCACACCCACTTTAAATTCTGCTTTTTCCTGCCCGATCCCTCTGCACTGACCTCCCCACCATCCCCAACGCCCTCCCAAATCAGTGATCTCCATCCTGCTCAAAATGGATTCCCCTCTGGGCTCACCAAGCCTTCCCCACTGTGGCCAACCCTCTGTCCCACCCCCTCTGTCCTGGCCTCTCCACTGCTCCCCTCGCCATCCTGTTTTGCTCCTCTTCCTACCGCTTCATTCAGATATTGCTGCCCAAAGAGCACATTTGTTCCCCCATCCCTTTCGCTCTCTCCCTTCACCCCACACTCAGACCCACTGAAAACAGACCAAATTTGAGATGCTAAGTGTTGGCAGAAACAAGAATAAAACATCAGTACTGTTTGAACAAAACTTATTTCAAGGTTACAAAAATGTTGATGATATCATTTGTCCTACTGATGTCCTGTTTTTCAAGTCAGCTGGGGCTTACTGTGGTTAAGGAAACTTTGCTGTGGTTTGAGTCTTCATGGTTAAAAACCTGATGAAAAGTCACCCTATTATTCTTTTCTTTTTTTTTTTTTCTGTTTTTGCAAACTACAGAAAGCATTTGTTTATGCAGATGAAGATGAAGGTCGGCCGGCAAATGACTGCCTATTAATATATGATCATGAAGGAGTCGGTACTCCTGTTGGCTCTGTGGGTTGCTGCAGCTTTATTGGAGAAGATACAGACGAAACATATTTGGATACATTAGGACCAAAATTTAAGACCCTGGCAGAGATCTGTCTGGGCAAAGAGATCGAACCTTTCCCTGATGTCAACCTGCCCTGGCCATGCGTTAACGTCACGTTTCCCAATGCTGAAAGTGATCTAAACCTCCCGCCACCTGGAACCACCATCGTTGTCAATGGATGTGCACCTATGCCTCCCCCGGTTGGCACTACAACGGTTGTTACTGAAAACACCTACACATCTGGGTCAACCATACAGCCTCCGAGGCCGATGTCGGATCCTTTGCTCCACGGCAACATGACGGTGACTGAGACCTACACCTCCGGCTCCCCCTCTCTTTGCGTTGACCCTCTGCGTGCATCCAATGTTGTTGTAACAGAAAGGGTTGTCGGTCCTGCATCTGCCTCTGATTTGCGTGGCATGCTAGATATCCCCGATCTCGCAGATGGTTCCAACGTTATCGTCACGGAAAGAGTAATCGCACCCAACTCCCGGCTCCCGACCTCTCTGAGCATTCCCGATTTGGTAGACGGGTCGAATGTGGTGGTGACAGAAAGGGTGTTCAGGCCTGCCTCTGGCATGCCAGGCAGCTTAATAAATATTCCCTCAGAGTTATCAAACACCCACAACGTGGTGGTCACCGAGAGGGTAGTGTCAGGGTCTGGGATGAGCAGCCTGGGGGGGACAAGCCTGGGGGGGGCAAATCTGGGGGGCCTGAGCAGCGCGGGTCAGATGCTCAGCGCTGACTGTCACCTTGGCCAGGCAATGGGCACGGCGTCCCCCGGCACCTCCCGGAGAAGAGTGACAAAGTACAGTACTGTGCAGTACTCCAGTCAGTAAGGCCTCTGCCAACGCCCCTTCCTGCCAAAATCGCCATTTGCACCAACACTCATTAGCTGCCACCCACCAAGAATATTGTTATTATTTATAACTAAGAAATAGCGCTAAAGTTTCGGGGATTCCTACTTGTGTGAGGATCTCCGAAGGGTGCCCCGCTTCAAAGTCAAACACAGGACTTTGTCAGTGAAGGGAAAGTTGAAGTTAGCTTTAAATTTATTTCTTTCTCTCCACCTAGCACTACAAGTGTACAAACAGATACTAATGTTTTTGGAGAGAGATCTGATTACCAAGCGGAGCAGTGAGAGGGGATCCTTGTGTACATACAGTATCATCATGAATTAATGTCATATAAAAAAGTGTTAAAATACTGTACTGCTGAGTGATCTCCCACAATAAGTAGATTTGGGCTAATAGCCTCTCACTGACAAGACAGGAAAAGAATGTAATTAATAATTAGTCAAATAAATAAATAAGCACTTTCTAATGCATCACTTCACTTTGCATGTAATTCAAGGAGCGCTACAAAACAGCACTTTCAATCATTTCTCCCATCATCGGCAATAGTTATAAATAATAATCATATAAACACAATACATTTTCATCGCCTTCTGAAGTTCTCAGTAAAACAAACACTCTGCCACGGCCTGCCATGTTGTTACTCCCATGGCGAGGAGCACAACCAGCAATTCGCCACAGCTGGCACTGCTGCGTTGACACCGTCACCCAGGAAGATGTTGGCTTCATCTTTTCTCCATTACCGTTACAGCTTTACTTAAATTTAAAAGGACTTCAGTGACAACCAGGAGCTCATAGTCAGGGTTTTGTGCCAAATTATGACTACCATTTAAGTCTCCAATGTCAGGTTATATTAAGAGGGCTATAATATACCGTGCCAGATCTCTTTTCTAATACTGACAAGAAAATAAAGTCTTAGAGGCTTTGTGACGTGGGGAGGCAGTAGCAAGTATTGTATCACTGACACTGGTAGCTGAAGTCCTTCATGAAAGGAAAAAACACTTGGGAGCAATATAAATTTGCTAATAAGCGATGTAGAGAATTGTTATTTCATATGCCAATGTATTTTGCATTGATGTTTTGAAAGTTTATTTGAATGTGTTAATTGAAAAAGTCTTTATGATTCTATAATCTTAATTAAATCTGGCTTTTATTTTCCCACAAAAACAGCTCTACTGGACTCTGTTATTCTAATAATACCTTAACATGGCTTAGAATAAGATCTGAAGGAGCAAAATACTGAAATATAGTATCTATCTCATTTTACTTCTGTATCATATGTATAGTAACCAGAGTATATGCAACATCACTTCAGTGTAAATAAAATAGTTATACAAAAGGACTAGCTTTTTTTGCTAGACCACCAAATCAGTAGTTTTCCCTCAAATTTTGCTTCTTCAGCTTTGATGGGTACGTTAGTGAGAAGTTGTCTGTGAACCTCCCACTCTATACAATGGAGAAGAAACTTCCAGTTGCATATCCAGATTAACTCATCTCAGAAGAACTGGATGACAAGTTTCTGAGTCTGATATCAGGAAAAGCCTTTTTAAAAGATGCTTTCGGAAATGCAACTAGATCCACTGTCAAAGACAACCTGCAGTGCCCTCTGAGTCAATGCCACAGCCATTGACACCAGTAATCCCCAGGAGTCATCATCAAATCCAAGGCTACCTCGAGAAAGGGTCCCTTCCATGGCTTCAAGATTTTTTCTGAAGCAACTGAGCGTGCTACATGCTCTCTCCATAATATCTGAAGTATTGCTATTTTTACTTCATCCTGTAGCCTTGGTTATCTTAAGTATCACTAAAATTGCATTGACTTCAGTGGAATTAGTCTCTCCTATACGTTATGTACCAACTGTCAGTATGGCTTCTGGAACCACCCTTTAAAGAAGGAAAATAGGTTCTACTATATAAAGCTGTATCCTTTCGTATCTGGAGAATTTGTGCTGAAATTCACTAAAATACTGACAAGCTCCCTTTCATTTTGCTAACCACCTATTTACATAAAAAAGCAAATAACTGAAGTATGTATGACTCTCTGGACATTTAGAAAGCCTATGCAATATAGGCAAAGCCCATTAGCGATATTTTTTAATGTAAAAAAAATGAAGTCTTGTGTAAATATCTCCATAATCATCTTACACAAATCAGAAATATTTTTCCTAGTTGTGCTTCAAAGTAATATCTAGCCTTCAGAAGCACATGCTGAATTCTTTGTGACACTCTTGAACAGGAATGCTGTGTGAGTATGAGTGTCTGAACTAACTATGGTGTCTTGCATGTCTAGAAATAGAAAGGGGAAGAATTAATAGAGAAAAAATGTTTTTTCAAAGTACATGAGTTTTGGTTATGTAGTGGTTGTCTACTTCTAGTACTATCTTTTACCAACTTTTTAAAGATAAATAGCGTATTATTTAATACAATTTCTTGAAAGATTTCTAGCATTTTTTAATATCAGTATCTCACATCAAACAGCAATGACATTATCCCTCAGCGCATTTCCAGTGCATTTCTGAATATTAATTTCTATTGCTGTGTAATTTTTACAAACTTTCTTAAAATTGTTTTCTTAGTGAGATGTGGACATTTTAGGTTACTGCAAGTTGTGGAAGAAAAATGTATCTGAAGATGTGAACAAATACTCGGTTCATTAAAAATCCTGTGCAAATTCTTTTTCTAGCTTTGTTCTTAAAAAATAGCATATAGTTTAATCCTGACTAACAGACATTGGTTTTGTTTCTTTTACTTCAGTTGTAACTTAGAAGCCCATTTGCTGTCTACCTTTAATCATGCTGTTTAATAATGAAGAATGAATGGTTTTCGGGAAAGAAGGACAGCTTTGAGTAGTGATATTAATCCTCCTCTAAACCATTCAAGCAAAAAACTCTTATTAAAGTGTCAGCAGTGTGCAACACCGAATCTATGGCTTTCCTTTTTTACTTGGGTTTTGTAGAGCAGGATCCTACAATTTTCACAGGCTTACTGAGATCTTGGCAGCATGAAAAGTTCACTGCCATGCAAGAAAACAGAGCCACAAGCTGTGGGTCTCATTAGATTTCTATCTTGGGAACACTGTCTGAATTTGAACCGCAGGTTTCGATTCTTTTTACTCAGTCCTGATTTTGTGGTAATAAATAAGATATTTAAACTGTTGTGAGCAGCACCTACTACCTGTAATATGAAAAGACCACACAATTTAAGCAAAAATAAAAGAAGGTCTACTGTTTTGCTTGAATTAACACAACTGCGTAATTCAAATGCTCCTCACTATTCAGTAACCAAATGCACCATTTTCATTCTATTTAAAATAAAATTAATATTACAGTGTTATTGTGTTTTCATAAATAAAAATACTAAAGATATGTTTGTAATAATTTCTGAATGGCACTGAAAAAATACAATAAATGATCATTTGGAACATCATGTTTTAAGTACAGTGGCTCAGGATACTTTTTTTTTCCATTTATCAGTGGGAAATGTAGTTTCCTTAAAACTGCTGGTTTGTACAGGAAAATTCTAGTTTTAATTTTCTTTCAGGGAAAAAAAAAAAGAAACAAAAGGTGTTGATTTAGAAAGTCAGAGCATCCCAAGGTGAAACTATTTCATGTGTCAAATTGACTAAGATACTTTGTTTTAGGTTGTGAAGCAGAAACGTGTGTCAGGTCTCACAAGGATTATAGTACAATTTCCTCAAGCCATCATTCTCTGTGTGGTTCTCTCTCTTCAGACGGCCTTTTCTGTGATACCATTCTGTCCTGCAACTCTGAAACAGTGCTTCAGAGCAGCTATAGACTAACACTGGAGTACAAGCCACAGAGAAGAAAGAGAGCAAAAGACACTTGAATCACAGTATTTGGGCAGCACAGGCATCACAGGTACATTCAGTGCATACAGGTCAAGCTGAGTTGAGCTAAGCAAAACCACTTTGGTTCTAAAAGTAAAAACAGTACATTTTGACATCTCAGAATCAAATTTCTTTCTAATGTTCCAGGCCAGTATTCATGATAATAATGATTTTTTGTACAGAGATTTTTCAAAAGGGTTTATCTGAACGCAGTAAAATATTGCTTTTAAAAAGAGAATCATATATTTACTTCTAAGTCTAATGTATCATTTTATTAGGCCTTAATATTTTGACATGGTTTTTTCTCAGTATTTCATACAGCATGATTTTTGGCACTCACACATACATCAGATAATGATTTAAACATATTTTCAGGAAATTAAGTTAGAAAAAATCATTGTCCATCTTCCAATTTATAGCAATGATATTGCTATCATTCTGACGACACTGCTAATTCCAGTGCAACAAAGATAATTTATCATTTATCCTCCGCGTATTTAGAACCTGCTTAAGTGGAAATAAAGCAAAATTCTATTAAACAAAACCATTTGTTATGCCCAAGCAACTTTTGTTGAAACTTTTGTACAAGTCAAAAATGGGTCAATAGACATAAAGTTCTTTCATATTCCAAGTACACTGAAATTTTACAAAAAGGAGAACAATGACAAAATTAAAATTGGTGACAGTTTTGGATGCACTCTTGTATAATGACAAATCTGTCATATTTTCCTGTTGCGACCAGTAGTTAAACAGCATCTTGTAATTCAGGGTACAGCACAATAAGGTGTGAAATGGAACAGGCATGAAAAACCAACTTAGGAAACAAAAGCTGCTCAACTGACATCCATCACATACCCTGACCTTTGATATTCATCATACATTGTTGGGCCTATCTGCAAACTTAGTTAGCTAGCTGTTTAGCCCTTTTATTTTTCCTATTTTTTACGAAAGCTCTAAAAAAGTAAAATAAAATATATATATTACTTACAGGCTTTTTTCCAACTCATTCATTAAAGATTTTATTGAAGCCAGTCAAAATCTAGGTAAAATAAATAGTAATTTTGTACCTGCAGGCTTTGATCTTACAGTGATCCAGTACCAAAGATCTGGGCAAGGGTCTGTCCCTGTGCTGGTCAATG